TGATGGCTTATTGATTAGGCATATCTTCATATCACATAATTCATGAAAATGATTACGGAAAGAACTCATGGTGAAAGATTGAGCCTTTATTATCATGACTTAATACTTATATAGCCTGAATCATGAGTCTATAACCTCTAAAAGTGAAAGACAGGTGATTTTTACTGGAAGGTATTCACTGAGAAAACTCTTCTACTGTAGGTGAGATACCTTTCCTAAAGCCAGGGCAAAGTACTATGGCAACAATATTATTTAATTCCTGTTTTTCAGGTGGAATAATGCCTGAAGACTGAATACTCTCACGGAAACCAGATGAAATTCTGGATGACAAGACTGTGGTGAGGCAATGAGCTTTATATGGTTTTCAATAAATTGCAGAATTATCCATCAGGAAGGATATAGACCTTTTCCATAACATATACACCTAGCCTACCCTAAAGTTGAACCAAGAAATTGATTACTTTAGCTGAAAGTGACAACATAAAATCAAAATCAAAGGAGCCAGGTATGGTTGAAAGAGGGAATTGGGGTCAGTGGTCCTCGTTTCTAGGTCCAGATCTGCCAGCAGGCATTCAATTTCTCCAAGCATCATTTATAAGATTAGAGTGTTGGACTTAATCTCTAATGTCTTTTTTGACTTGATAATTCTATATTTCTATTTCAAAAGGCTTTGTCTGCTATGTATGAAGTGCCTGCTCTGTGGCAGGTACTGTGCTAAGTTCTAGGTAATTATTACCTTGTTTAATCCTCACAACAAGCCCATGAGGTGGGTGCTGTACAAAGGTCCAGTCTTTTCCAGGATCACGGAGCCAGAACGTGTCTGAGGTCTCAGCACCTCGTAACAATTATTACAACAGTTTTTATTATTGTCCTTGCCTCCAGTTTCTCCCCTCCTTCAATACACAACTACGTCATTGGTGTTACTAAAGCCTAGGTCTGACCATGTCATTGCGCTCCTCAAGAATCTTCAGTGGCATTCTGTTGCCTCTACAATAAAACAAAAATCTCTGTTTGGCATTTAAAGTCTACAGTCAGGCTCCAAACTACATTCTCTGATTCATTTCACAAGACTCCCCCCACATATATTCTATTTTCTGGCCTAACTTGCCTACTGGTTATTACTCCCTGTGTAAGACATTGCATTTCCCCTATGCCTGAACCTCCACCTCTTGGAATTCCTATGTCCCATCATCAAGGTTCATTCTTCAAGCCACTGCCTACATGAGGCCTTTCCCAATTCCTCCAGTTTTTAGTGTTCCCCCACCAGCAAATTAATATTTATTTTGTATTTCCTTGTAGGGTGTATGTAAATTTATGTCATGTGTGTTGTTTCCTCTAAGCAGAATGCAAGCTTCGGAGGACAGGAGTACATCCAGTACTGAGCACGGTTTCTGGCACAAAGCAGTCAATGTCTATTGAATTTCATTAGAAAGCACAAAAGAGAAAGAGTGTGATGACTTTTTGGCTCAGGGTTATTATATTTTTGTCTTTATTCTACTACAGGAAGGAGCTAATGGCACTGCTATTGTTTCAGAGCAGGGTCAAGTCTCCTACTACTAACTTCAAACCAAATAACCTTGAACATGGGTTATTTACATAGGAAAGAGGAAAGCCTGAGTTAAAAGTCAACAGTACTTAATGCCAATGGTAGAGGGAAAACAATTGCCCAATAACACATGGCAGGTCAGTGTTTTACTTTTTTTCTTTCCTTGAAGAAATTCAAGAATCATTTTGGCTGTTTGATTTCAAAGCTTTTCCAAGTTAGGACTGGCTCAGAATTAACACGAGTGGCATTTTATTTTAAATAAAACCTATTCTAAGCACCAAGTATGTTAATTAGCTTTGCAACTGATTTTTTTTATTCCTTAAATAAGATTTAAGCATGATTTTATATAGCAGGCATTACCCCGAAAAGATTATGTCTGAAGTGTCTTGTCATAGCGAGGGCATTTCTATATCTCATGATAAAACAGATCCACAAAACAATGTTGTATTAAGAATGTTTTTGGTTACAATGATACACACAAAACTTCTCAAATGCAGGAATATTCTAAAAGCCTTCTCTGAACATATTTTAAAATTTTATAGAAAAATTCTAAGCATGCAATACAAAAATGAACATGTCACAGCTGAGGCAAGAAAAAGCATGGGTTCTTTATGGGTTCATAAAGCACTCTCTTGAGTTTACTTGAGCTTCTTTACAGATTTAAGCAAATTCAGGTCTTGGCAAAAGCTGTTATGACTTGCTCAGGTATTTTAATGTTTACAAACTACCTGGAATACTCTTAATTAAAATTTTACCTGTTCCTCAAGATTCAGATTACCAGCTACCTCCTCTGTGAAACTTTCTCTGATTATGCAGCTCCTCAGTCTCTCTCTCACTCTTACCAGCTCATAAAACACACTATTCGCTAGATACAGTCTTATTTCCTTGCACCTCTTCAAGGCTATTCTCTTTTACAGCTAGATTATATACTCTTAAAAGGCAGGAAGTATATCATACTTGTTTTTGTGTCCCTTTCAGCACCCAGTAGAATGATGGTAATATATAGTAGGTTTTTAAATCTGCCTAATGATTGACCAATTAAAAAAGGGACAAAAAAAGAGGATGCTTTCTGCAAAGAAGAAGGTTGTGAAATCAACCTCCTGCTCTGACGGCTTCGTTGAGTCATTTTCCTGCCACTGACCTTTAAGTGTGGACAACACCCTTAACTCAATTCTTTGTGTTCTGCTTTTTTCCATCTATTCTCAGGTTGGAGAATTCATTCACTTTAAGAGCCTCAACATCACCTCTGTGGTACAGAAATCCAATTTGATAACCCTTTCCATCATATCTGAATTTCAGAACTACATTTCTAGATACCTATTGGACATTCTTCCACGTTATGTTTATCTTGCTGTCTCCTCAAACTCAATATATTTAAAACTAAAACATACTTCCCCTCTTCTAATTTGGATTCTCTTTCCAGTTGTCCTATTTCTGTCTGTACCAGTTTATATCTCTTCCCCTCACTCCACCCCACCTTAGTCCTCCCCTTCCTTAAATCTTCAAATCATCATTGACTTTTCTCTATCTTTTGCCCTCACTTATCAGTTATCCCTCATCCCTATTCATTCTACTTAGAAATATTATTCAAATTCATTCTCCCTTCTCTATTACACAGCCACATTCTGCTATAATCACAGTTTGGGACCTTCACAACCTTATAACTAGATGACTGCAATATTCTGATTTATCTCCTTAAATCAATACTGCTGCCAGATTTACCTAAAGCATTACCTCATCACTATCCTTGTTTACAGACTTTTTGCTATTGTTTGTTAAACAAATTTTAACTCATTAGCATGAAATTCAAGACTCTAAATCAATAGGCACCCACCATACAAACTTCTCTATCACTATTGCTCAACACAGACCCATTATGCCAATATGACCCATCTGTATGCCATTCTCACTTACATCTCTGGATTTACCCATGTTCAGGTTTCTACCTTAAATGTTCCTCTTCTGTCTTTCTTCATTAATTCAAATTAAATCCTACAGGCACTTCCCTTTATATATATATAAAAAAAAATGAAACGTTCCTTATATTAATACCAACTTAAATGATCCAAAATTCAATTAGAGAGGACTTGTTTTCTTCTTATTAGATCATCTCTTTCCAGTTCTATGAAAGAGTCTTCTACTTTTTCTGTAGTCCTATGAGTGCCTACCCCAATTATGGACACATAGTAGACACTTAGTAATGTTCAATTAATGAATGAATGTAAAATACTCTCCTTTTCTTCACCTGAAACTTCGTCTTTTCTTTTCTTTCCTCTTTTCTTCTGCTTGTCTTCTTTCCTCACCTTATTTTTCTGCAAGGGAAAAGACAAAAAGTTTCATAAGATGACATGGTGAAGTGGGGGAAAAAAGACTATAAAAGGGAAAGAACAAGTTTTTCTAGAGAATACATGAATGACATCTTAATTCTCCTACTTCTTGGAAGTATATCTGGAAATATACAACATGGGGAGAAATGTCTGAAAAAAGCAGAAGAGCAGTAATAGTCAAGGAAAGGTACTCTTTCTCTCTTTCTGAGTATGTATTAATCACTTCTATGAAGTGATTCTATGAACTAAAATTGGGGTGATTGTTTAACCAAGGGAAAGCTGCCATAGCCATTGCGATTTAAAATACAAATGCAGACAAAATTGGTCATTTGTAAAAAAAGATTCTTTATCATGGGAAAACTTTACTTTTTACTTGAGGAGATGATATATAGTGACAGGTAGGGATTTAGTCCTATAATCTGAAATGGCTATTCACTAAAAACAATTATTTTAATAAAACTGGGTAGTAGGTGAAATGTAGACACATACAACCTGTTATTACAAACATAGTCTTGATATATTGAATTTGTAAATCTTGCTGCATCTAGCTTGAATCCATTGAAATACAAATGTTTCTTGAATTCAAATTGCCTTAGAATAACAATGAAAACTGCTTCTTTAGGGCTGCCTCAACTGATAGCAAATATTGAGGTAACAGGCACATTAACAAGAAATCTCCAAACCTTTTTTATCCTCTCCAAGGAAAGGCCTATTCCACAGCACACAGACACACATACACATACATACATACATATGTGTACACACATGCACTCATACACACACACACACACACACACACACACACATATAATTCTTCACCACAGATCTTCTCTTCTGTGTATAAGCTCCACAGGTCTGGATCAGATGAGACAGCTCAAACAGCCTCAGGGTGAAGATCATGGAATCATGTAGAAATAGGTCAATACACTTTGAGGTGCAGATGTTCGATTTTAGCAAGAAGCACTTAACTACTTCCAGAAGTTGAAAATGTGTTGTAAGATAAGTGCTGATTATGTAACATAAAACTGACACTAAAAACTTCTGCAAGATCTTTTATATTACACTGTAGATTAAAAACTGTAATAAGTGTTTCAGATATTTAAATGAGCACCAAACACTACAAAGTGTAACCAACATGGTTCTATTAAAAACTATCTTCAACCATGGCATTCATGGAGAGCAATAAAATATTTTCTTCACAAAGCAACTAATATAAAAAAATCTGAAAAATGCCATAAATTCATTTATGAGCTACTATTCTCATATAAGTATATAATCAGAACATACTTTCTATCAACTACTTCCTGAGGTATTTTTGGTGTTTTAATTTTATTGTACTGTTGGATGTATTATCTCTGATCATCCTTTCCTAAAATGATTTTTAAAAGACCTGCAAAATATTTTATTGTGTAGGACACTACTAGTGACACAAAGAGTGGAAACTGCAAATATGTGGCAATGGAACAAGTCTTACAAATATTGCATTTTAAGAATTTGTTACATACATTTTTTACAGTTTGTCTCTTTAAAAAAAAACTGAAGTTACAGCTAAGAGTCAACAAAGTACAGTAAAGCATTTCAGGAATGTTTGAAATTATAGTATAAGATGAATGATACAAAGGAAAAAAGCCATAATTCTTGCCGGCTATATATTGTATTGCCTTCAAAAGCAACTGTACATGTTGTAATCAGTTCATAGCGTAAAATATTTCTACTAATCTGTTTTGGGAGAGCAAATGTCTTTCAAGGTTTCAAGTTCCTCTATGAGCTTCTTGTTCTGAACTTCCAGCACTGCAACACGACTCTCCAGACATTTTACATATTCTTTCTTTCGACGTCGACATTCTTTAGCAGCTTCCCTGCAAAAAGCAGAAGCAAAAAGGGCAAACAAAAAACCATTTGCATGCTATTGGCAAACAGATTGAAGAAAGCTCAGTATAACTGTGTGATCATGGTTGCATTCCAAATTTTGGAACAACACTCCCAATTCAGTTTCAAATACTAAGCCAAACTGGATTCCCAAGGGTCACAAGTGTCCCTTCCACAAGTCCACCTGGCAATTTGTAGAATTGCTGCATCTCATGCCTTGATTAGAGTTCACAGTAAACAAGGTCCAAGTCAAAGACAGTTACTCTGCTTTATGGCAATAAAGATCTTTGAGGGCCTTGAGTTCCTCAATGAGAGTCTTGTTTTGATTTTCAAGAACAGCCACACGATTTTCAAGACATTTGACATACTCCTTCTTCTTCCTGCGACACTCCCGAGCAGCTTCCCTGGAACCAACACAAGGCAAATGACTACAGGAACAACTCCCAGCACAACCAAGAATGGCTCAATGAACTGTTCTTCTGCCCCCCAGATTCAACAGCCACTCAAACCTGGTGCCAATCCATACAAAGCTGTACAACAATTACAACCAAGCACATGCCTTTTATAAATGACTGTAATACAAACAAACAACTACATTCAATTTGCCCAGAAAACTGAGTTTTCATAAGGACATATGTTCCATAATCACAGTGATGACATCAATGAATTGCTTTTCCATCACACAAAACAATAAGACCACATTGCCAACTGCATTTCTATATGTGACATTTACATTTCCTTTCAATTCTCCTGATTATTTTTATCTACCAGGAATATCATAATTCTATCATCCTGAATTGAATTTTACTTGACCAAAAATGCTTAGAAGAAATAATCTTCAGAAAACTTTAATAAAGCACCACTGGTGGAAGTTTTGTTTTAATACTAAAATCTAGGCAAAACCAGACAGGTTCAACTTCATCAAAAGATAAACAGTTTTTCAGCTGTAAAAGACAACATGTATAAGACAAGTCACAAAAATGCCCAAGTAAAAGGGCACTACTACTACTGAAAATAAGGAGTGCACAGGATGAAACACAGGGCTCATTACCCTAAGCAATTTAAACAGGAGACGGGCAGAAGAGCAAAACAACACAGAAATATGACAGGAAAGCTGCCAAAATAACTCACACAGGAAGGTCAAAATTTTTTTCTACGATGACATGCATTTAACATCCATTATACTTCATTTAAAAGCACCAGAGGCATCCATGAAGAAAAGCAGCCAAAGCAACAAAACAAATAAAAAGGAATAAGTGAGATTAAATTGGATTATTTTCACATACAATGGCCACCAAAAAATAAAGAAAACAGCCAAAATTCCCTTTTTTGGGGTGGGTTAGGGAAGCAAATGTTACACTTAACTCCTTGCAGTATAAACCCTGTGATAGCAAATTTTTCTGAAATATTAACCTTCTTCCTTTGCAAATCTAACATGTAACAAAAGTATATCCATCTTAGAATAACCTTGCTTTCTGGCATAGCTGTTACTGCTAATTCAGTCCATCTTAATAAGACAACTTTGGAGCTATTTTTATTTAAAAACAATATCTGAACAGCTGTGCTAAATGTATAAAATAAAAACTGCTTAACAATAATTAGAATTACTTCCAAACTTGAATTTAGTGTAAATCGCAAAGAATAATCCTTTAAGAATCTAATTGAAAGACTGAATTATTAATTGGTGAATATTTCTGTTTCAGGCAGGTAAATAGTTTCTCCAGAGGAATCAGCAGTTAGTACCCTCAATGAAATACACCAAAAAGAGCAGTGCCTACTTTCTAGCTAAAAACAATAAAAGCACTATGTCAAAAGTTTTTAGTCTTCTCAACTGGTTAGAAGAAATGAGAGAAAATTGCATTTCATCTAATAAAAGATGCAATTAATATAAATGATACACACTGCTAATTTTAAAAGAAAACTTAGGTTATTCACACATTTGCCAGTTTTGAAAGATTGTTCAACTATCATCCCCCTGGGGCTGAAATTAACTCAGGAAAGTCAAAGTTCTCATAGTACAATTATTTTAACAATTACAGATCTCAAATAAAGTTAATTTAATAATGTGAATGAACATAATGGAATTTTAAAGCTCAACATATAGTTTTGCAGGTTTAAAAAAAAATTTCCTTTTTTCTTGCATATACTCTTGTAATCCTATACTTAGGAGAGTCAGAATTTCCAAGCACAAAACTTTTAAATGATATCACCAGTAGATAGTACATATCTAAACAATGCTTAGATAGGGAAAACACCTGCTATGCCTATTTATAGCTAGGTCAACTTTCACACACTGTATGTCTACATATCTCTGAACCTTTGCTGCCGCCTCTTATTCAAGAGAAACACATAGCAAGTAAGCAAGGATAAGAATACTGGAAGAAATGAAAAATTGCCCTTAGTTTAATAGAAAAGTAGATGTATGAAAAAACTGTTGGTGGGAAAATCACAGAAATTGGGTGGGAGAGGAGAGGGCAAGAAGGGAAAAAGAGGAAAAAGGCTCTGAAGAGCTCTTAGATTTGAATGATAAAGTACAAGTCCATCATCTGAAAAAGTCTCTATATATGTATTGTGTGTGTGTGTGTGTGTGTGTGTGCATGTGTATACTCTGCAGACCTCCTAAAGAAAGCAACCTTCCCAAGTCCACAGATGTAATTTAAAGACTTGCCCTACGTCATACAAACAGTATTTGGCAGAATTCATATTTGAACCCAAATCTTCTGGCTCTAAATTCAGGGCTCCTTCTGTTGTGCCGTGCTGCCCGAAACGAGTCAGCTTGATCACAATATAGGGAAAGTCAGCATAAGCTGGAGGCTGCTATTAGGGCAGGACTTCAGGAGGACTAATTGGGGAGGTCCTCATATAAAAAGTGTCTCCTCCTCTAGCCTCACTGAGACTTAGAACTCCATAATGAAATTCTTTTCCCACCAAAACTGCAGATACTACTAGGAGCATTAAGATATTAAACCTTATCCATTATTTACTCTTCTGTATAAGTGCGTTTTTATCTTGTATCCCAGCATGAAATACAGTGCCTGGTACACATAAAGTGCTTAATAAATAAATGGTTGATGACTGACTGATTTATCTGATACCTCAGGAAAACCTCAAGAATTAATGAAGATGTGAATGAGCTGACCTTTCGGGCAACTAAAATAGGAAACACCGCCTCATCTTTCTTAAATTCACAAGCTTCCATGGCAAATACACAAAAAAGCTCTCTCCCAACTAAGTTTAGTCAGTGGTATAGGTGGCCGACAGGAACATACTATTGACTGGAGTTGTTTATTTTTACCTCTGAAAGGTTTCAGGGTGCTAAAAACAAAGGTATAAAGTGCTGAGCAAAGCAAGTAATGGCAATCCTAGTTTCCCTTCACGGTAGCTGAGTGATGTAGTGGATAGAATGCCAGCCCTGGAGTCAGGAGGATCTGAATTCAAATTTGGCCTCAGAAACTTACTAGCTGTGTGTGACCTTGGGCAAATCACTTATCCCTGTTTGCCTGAGTTTCCTCATCTGTAAAATGAGTTAGAGAAGGAAATAGCAAACCACTCCAGTATCTTTGCCAAGAAGACCCCAAATAGGTACAGAGATTCAGATACAACATTAACAATTCAACAATAACAAAGTCCCTCCTTACCCCCAATATGTACTACAGACCACCTAGGCAGGAAGACAAAAGAGATGAGGGTTCAGAAAACAGATCAAGAGCCTGGTACAGTGAGCAGTGAAAGGAGGCATATCTGTATACCCACTGGAGCTGGCTCACTTATGCTTATGTTCCCACCCCCTCCTAAAAGTCCTTCTCTGCCAAAAGCAGAGCAGAAGGTAAATTTTTTGGCTGTAAATATGCCACATTTTGAAAAAAAAACAAAATGGAGTCTCAAAAGTTATAAGTCAATGGGCTTTCAATTTCTAGCAAAATTCTAGAACACATTCTCAAAGGAAAGCCAATGAAGATGATAGGAAAAAGGAGCAGTAAGCACAGAAAGTCAGCAGAGCTTCCTGTCCGTGACCTTGTCAGACCAAGCCCCTCCCCCTTTGATGACAGGATTACTTGACTGGCAGATCAGAGGAATTTGCTGTTAACATACCCTACCAAGATTTTAAGAAAAAAATTTGGTCAAGTCCCTCACGTGGTTCATTTAGTAAAGACAAAGAAAAGATGAGTGCTAGGCAATAGTATGATTAGAACAAACTGAATTGGGCAGATCCAAAGAACAGTCTGTCAATAGCTCAATCTCATCTCTGAAGGAGGTTTCCAAAACAGTTCCTCAAGGAGCTGTGCTCTGGCCCCAAGTTTGTTTAACATTTTAAAAAATAATTTGGATAAAGGCAGAGATAGCATGGTTATCAAATTTCCAGATAACAAGAGACTGGGAGAGCAATCTGGGTTTCAAAAAGGTATTAAAATACTCGAACATTGGTCTGAATAGTATAAGATGAAATTTAATTTACAGGAATAAGTGTAAAGTCATATACTTAGATGGGTGAAAGCATGGCTGGTTCATCTGAAAAAAAAAAATCAGGGTATTTTAGTGGCCTACAAGTTTAATGAGTCACCACTGTGATAAGGGCCCCCAAGAAAGTTCATATAATGTTAAACTGCTTTAATAGAGACACAGCATTCTAGAATAAGGAAATGACAGTCCTGCCATATGCCACCCTAGAACCTAGTTCTGGTTACCACATTTAACGAAGGAAAGTGCTATGCTCAAAAGTATTCAGGAGAGCAACCAAGACCTTGAAGAATGTTTTCATACCACTTTGAAAACAGATTGAAGGAATTTGGGATGCTATTTAAAGAGAGAACAGAGAAAGAGAACAGAAGACAACAGAGAAAAACAACAGAACACATGGGGTGGGAGGTCGGGGAGGAAAGGACATTGTAGCTATTCTCAAGTATTTGCTGTGCAATCACAAGGGAGAGGGATTAGATTTCCTCTGCCTGGCCCTGGAGAGCAGAACTGGGAATAATGGGTATAAGTTGCAGAGAGACAAATTTAGGCTTGAGGTAAGAAAGAAGTCCTAACTACTAGAGCTTTTCAAAAATGGAGATGGAATTGGGTAAATCAGGAAATGGTGTGTGTGTGTGTGGGGTTCATTTGCATGACAAAATGAGATATAAAATAAGTTCATTTGTACATTGAGGTTATCAATTTGTCTAATTATCTATGGATAACAGAATAAAGTACCGTCATACCTTTTTCATATTTTGTACAAGCTATTAGAGAGCGACTTTTTTTTTAATTATTAGCACCTAGTTAAGTGCTTTGTACATTAGATTTACAAAATAGCCTCATAATCATAATATTTTCTAACATGTGCATCAAATGACCACAGAACTATGTTATTCATATCTTCCAGGATTCTGACAATGTAATTTAAAAATCAATCAACCAACAAGCATTTATTAAGCATTGACCATGTTCCAGGGACAGTGCTCGATGCTGGGCACACTAAGGAAAAAAATGAAACACTTCATGCCATCAAGAAGCTTACATTTTATCAGACAAGAAAACATCTACGTAAATAAGTATATAAAGAATGTATTCAAAACAAAACAAAGCAGTTTTGTGAGGGTGAGCACTGGGAACTGAGGTGAAATCTAGAAAGATTTCAGGCAGAACTGAGAGCTGAAGGGAACGTGAGATCCTAAGAAAAAGAGCTAAAGGGGGTTCCAGGCGTGAGGCACAGCCGGTGCAAAGGCACAGAGAAGGGAGACAGGACAAGAAGAGCAAGGAAGGAGAGAGTCTGGAAGGGAGAGAGGAGTTTCGGACAGGTTGAGTTTGAAACGTCTGTGGGACGTAGAGTTTGATGAGGCCGAATGGCAGCTGGTGATGAGACTAGAGCTCAAGAGACAGCACGGAGGGTGGAGACATGGATCTAGTAGACTTCAGCACAGAGATGATGACTAAACCCATAGGACCCAATGCAGTCACCAAGAAAAATGGAATACGGAAAAGAGAGAAGAGCATTAGGACAGAGCTTTGGGTTCCCCACCAAAAGAAAAGGACATCGTGGAGAGCTTGGACAGGGAGGAAAACAGGTGGAAGAAAACAAACATGGAAACCCAGAAAACAGGGTACGTAAGAGAGGGTGACCAACAGTATTAAATGCTTCCAATGTCAAGAAGTAAGAAAAGGCTATCAGACTTGGCAATTAAGAGGTTATCTATAACTTTGGAGAAAGTTATTTCAGTGGAGTGATGAAGTGAAAAGTCAAATGGTTACAAAGTAGTTGAGGGAAGGGGAAGAGGGGGAAACAAATGAAAAGAGACTTTTCTGCAAATGTGGTTACTAAAGGAAAGGGAGATAGGATGACAGCTGGTAAGGACATTGGGATTTTTTTTTATGAATGAGGAAAACCCACATAAGAAGAAAACTAGAATAGTTTTAAATCAGGTTATTCATTAAGTAACTAACTTTTGAATGGGGCTTATTTAAAACTTTAGGCTTTTTAACGTGTTCAAATAATGGATCTCATGGAACCAGAATGATATTAAGACTCTAGTGGGCAGGCATTACTTCCCTGACAAAGTCAGAGTTTCCCAATGTGGCAATACTTGCTCTGACATGAAAATAATGAGACTGGGATCAACCAACTATTTTAGTAGTATATCAATTTATATCAATCATTTTTATATCAATATATTGAATAGTGCTACTTCTGGTCAATAATAACTACCACGAACAAAATGTAAGTGAAAACTTTTTATATATCATGTTTTTATGTCTGTTACTACTGTAAATCCAAAAGAAGTGTGATAAAAACTATAAGCATTGCTATTATAGTTTCAAATATTTTTAAGTGTCTCTGAGCAGCAAATGGGGAGTACAATTTCTAGACTGACTAAGTTGACTCCTCTAAAATCTAAACATATCCAAGGGAGCTTCTAACTTGAGTCTAAAGGGTAATTCTTTACAATCTATGATTGTAGCTAAGGTGCTAATTAGAAAAACCAAAGCCATAAGCTGCACCTTCAAGCCCATAGGTGCTCAGTATAAACAAATACCTGTATTTAAAATGGTCTAGGCACCCTGTGAGGAGCACCATAATATGATAAAAACTGTCCAAAAGGTTCCTGGGCTGTTATTTTGATTCCATAAGAGTCAACTTCTCAATATGCCATTATGTTCAAAAATTAACCAATAAAAATTTTAAAATTAGAAAAGAATGAACAAACCAATACATAACAAATAAGCTCTTCAAATGTTTCACTAAAATGAGAAAATATTTTCTCACTTAAATACCTTGATGCTAGAAATAATTAATCTGTGTTTATATTATACTGATATATTAATATAAAAATATTAAACATTCATGTTCTTTAGAAAATGAACACACTAAAAAGTTCCTTTAAAAGATGTGAAAATAATAACAGCTAAAATTATGTAGCACTTTAAGATTTGCAAAGTGCTTTACAAAATATATTTGCTCATTTGATCATCTCCTTCCTTTCTCTACAGAGACAGGGGATGAGTATGAAACACTACATAGACTATCTGACTGACTGAGTTGATGTGTTTGTCACTTTTTGCTTACCTACGTTATTTTTTCCCTCTTTTTTTCAAGGCATGGCTCTCTGAAAATGGAGAGATACATATTGGGAAATCAAGGTGATGTAAAAATAAACTATGTTAATAAAATCTTTAAAAATAAAAATTTTTATAAAGAAAGTTTCTCATCAGTTATCATGATGAAAAAAAGTGATTGTGAAAGCAGTAACTGAACATCATCCTTAGCAACAAGCAGGAATGCACCTCCTGCTGATCTGAATATAGGCCAATCTGATTTTCACTGAATTGTGGAACAAAGATTTATGCAAATATCACAATACTTACTGCAGTAGTAAGATATTTTTAAAAACCAAACATTTTAAAACAAAAAAGAAAACTTCTACCAGAGAAGTTTTTTAAAAGTTTCTAACATTTCTAAGAGAAACTTTTGCTTTTTTGTAGTAGTTTCAATTTCAGTGAAATCTCTTACCTATTTTTCATAAGTCTTAATTCTCGTTTGCGGGTTGCCTCTTCCGCTAATTGCTGTGGACTATGCAAACTTCCTGGAGAGGCTGCCATTACGACTCCCTGTGGCAAAGCAGTAGTAGGAGTTCGGATCTGGTAAGTTGGCATGTCACCAGTAGCTGCTGCAATAAAACAGAACATTATAAATATTATGCAAACAACTCACAATTTTCAGCTTCATATACCTCAATGAAATGGATGGAAACATCAGATCTTGTTTTACAAGTAATAAGGGGCTTTTGTTAAATCAAGGATAGCTTTGTCACAAATGATATCCCAGAAGCATGCTTTATCAAATGAAAATTAAGACAGTTAATCCATTCGCCATGCAATCTTAGTATTATATAGTACCTTCTCTATTCTCCATAATGCTTTAACCATTCCCTGAAGTTTTAAGGCTTAAGAAAGTACATTACTATTTTAGTACTGCAAAACACTAATTAACTTGAAAGCTAACCAGAATCTTCAATTAATAAACAAGAACCTCGCACTTCATTTTTAGGAAAGAAACAAGTAGTTCATATCAGAGGTTTAACGTACATATGTACACACACACACACACACACACACGTGTGTGTACATATGCATGCATATGTATGAACGTAAATAAAATAACTTCCCGTAGGTTTTCTGGGCGTCATTTGTTCATTTGAAAAATGCTACTGGGCCAATGGCTCTCTAAGATTTCTTCCAGTTCTAAATTCTAAGGATCCAACTCAGTTTCCACTATATTCATCAGATATATTTAAAGCACGCAAGTCAACAAATACTCAATGAGTGAATGAATAAATGAAAGAAATAATAACAGCTTCAGGGAAAAGTACTATACAATGAAACTTCATGACAACCACTACCCAGGGGAGAAAAAAAACTTTGCATAATCAAAGGTATGTATTCATTATGTTCTACTTATTAAGGTAAAATGTATGCTAATACATTTTAGATACTATTTCAAAATAGCTTAAAAGTTTTCTGCTTTTCAATTAACCTTCCAATTCACCAATTTAGAACATCTACATACCACCAGCTATTCAGTTAACTAAGGTTTTACTATATCCTAAAGAGACCACTGAAAGAATGAATGTGCCTCCCTCAGAGTTATGAGGAACAGAGTAAGGTACTAGAGGAACTCAGTTTAGCACAGTTTAAATGTAAAAAAAAAAGTTTTCATCTACATCTGGTTTCTTTTAAATATACTTTCATAGGTTTGTTTCTTTAGATTCTTCACACAATTCCTAAGATGAATGATGCATTAGTCAAACTTCAAGTGCTTATTTCAAATAAGTCTTATCGTTAAAGTTTTCATATAACACAGGTGAATTTTAGAATAAATTCTTCTAACTGTAAGATGTGCCATGGTTAAACGATCTGTACTACAATATCCATTGTTCTTTTCAATCAACAGATGGTTCTAGATGTTAGACCGTACAGACAGCTGCCACCATAAGAAATTTTTGTAAGGCATTAATCAATATACCTTCTCACAATACCCTTCAGCCTTTGTGCCACTGCTGATTTAGATAATAAATTCCGAGGGGACACTGATTATCTTCTTCATAAAGAGAACTCCTAAAGAATCTAGTATATTGTTTCAAATAAAATGGTCTGTCAAAAAATATTGACTGGTGGCTTCCATCAGGAGAATAATATGATCAAGATTAGGACATTACTTAATAAAGAATTAAGGGCAGAGAATCAGGCAATGTGTATTAATTAAAGTACCTACTATGTGCCAGGCACTGTGCTAGGTGCTAAGAATACAAAAAGTGAAACATTCCTTACTCTCATGGGGCTTACCTTCTAAAAGAAAAGCTGTTTTGAGGGGATCCAGATATTCAAATCAAAGAATCAGAACGTTACAGCTGAAAAACTGATCATCAATTCCAGTTCTTTCATTTTATGCAGAAAGGAACTCAGGCCCAGAAAGGATGAATGATTTGCCCAGTGTCCTACCACACTGGTACAGGGACAGAATTCAAACGGGAGTCTGCTGACTCCAAATTTACTCTTTACTTTAGTACTCTTTCCACCACTCCATGCAAGTATACAACCAAGATTTTCATTAGTCATCTTCACTTTGTAACATTTGGAATTATTTCTTTTTGTATTATAGACCACAGTACAAAGAAGCAATCTTCAGGTACACTCTGTTGTCTTTATTGAAAACAGTCCTAACTTTCACTACCACCCACTGAAAAGATGCTTACCTATGTAAGTAAACTAAATTAACATAGTATCCCTATCCCCTTATAAGACCAACATCTGTCATTTTCAACTACTAAAGGGTGCTCAAATTACTTTAGTATGATAAATTTTACTATATCAAATATTTTGTAAAATAAGTCAATATTGGAAAGAGGCATAGTATAATAAATAGAGGGCAAGAACTGGAGGCAGGCAGACTGGATTAAAATTCTATACCTGACACCTACTAGTTGTGTACTTAAGGGCAAGTCACATAATTTCTTAGAACCCTGAGCAATTCTTTGAGACTATAAATTAGACAATTTGCCCTTTTCTACTCCCAGAAGTTCCATACACCAATGAAATAAAAAGTCTGGAATAAAAAATGATCCCCAAATCCAGTCATTTGAGGTTTGGGAAAAAAAAAAACAACCACTTTTTTTGTTAGGTTTTTGTTCTGATATGACTGAGCATCTATATGAAAAAGAAAAAAATATATGTTTAACATGTATACAAAAATATTTTTTATACAGCTCACTTCCAAGTAGGTAAAAAAAATGGCAAAAAAAACCTGGCAAATGCCTAGTGATTTCAGAATTTTTAAAAAGGATCTTTGGGAAAATATACAGACTTTCTTAACAATATCAACAAATTCCATGGAAAGTACAAGTGGCTAAAGAGTCCATATTTTATAGAAACTAGACTTCTTTGAAGTCTTTCTTTTCTCAAACCATTCCCGGAGAGCATGGATTATCCAAAATAAATTTTAGAAGCTGATGATCTCTGATTACCAAGTGTTACCTAACACCCAATTCCTGATATATATATAAAAACACACACACACACACACACACACACACACACACACACACACTTGTATGCTTTTCTCATAGCCTTACTTGGCAAGACAGACAGGTATCCTATAGTCACAGATAAAATTCAAATTTTCCAATGTTTCATAAAAAATTCCTTAACTCTTAACTTGGATCCTTAATCTAATGTTTCTTATTGTAAACTCTAAAAGAAAATGTACCAAATTGTGGTGTAAAGAATATAATAAGTTTCTCTCAAAAATTTCCCCTTCAGGGTATATAGGATAAGGGATAATTAACACTTAAACCTATTTCTTTTAAGGAAATTGTCAAGTTGCTCTATTATAATGTACTGTTAGCCAATTTCCCAAAAGAATGAAAATATACAATTGTGATATGGATCATCTATTTTTTCTTATAACTTAAGATCACTTTTAAGTCACAGAAGACCAACTGGTAAGTAAAATAAGCAGAACACACAATAATCCATAAGACAAGCACTATAGGAGAAAAGGAAAAACATGAAAGGTCATAAAAGGGACATTTTGAAAGATTTCTAAGATGACTAATTCATTGTTACTACAAATGAATATTTACTAAATCTCTAATAGAAACTTCCTCCAACCAAGTTTCCCACGACATTTGGCCCACAAACCAAGTCATTATAATGTGACAACTCTTAATTAATCAATTAATCCAACTTGAAAATATTTCAATTAAATGTTTATCATTTTACCAAAGAAAAATTGTAAAACATTTTAAAGGCCAACAGGAAGTTATTAAAAGGCATTTTCTTATCTGTTTGGCTTTACGTTCATGAGGTACTTATTTAAATAAGCAGTTATAAAATTTAAAAGTCAGCACTTTCAATCATTGAAATAAAACATGAAAAATGTCCACTATCAATACTGTTATTCAAATTTATATAGAATGCTAAAGAAATGGTTTTAATATACCAGTATAAGCTCAGTAATATCTTCCAAAAATACTCCAAAGCATGAACAGAAAATATGCCTTAACTCCTTAAAATAGAGAGTCTTAACCAGGGATTAATGACTTTAATTAAAAAAAAAAACTATATAGCTATATTTCAACATAATTCATCTTTTGTAATCTTATGGATTTTGTGAATTTAAAAACATTATTCAGAGAAGAGGGTAAAGGCTTCACCAGGCTGCAAAAGGGGTCTGTGATACAAAAAAAAAATAATAACATCTTTCAAAAACTCCATTTTTCGTATGTCTTATGCAATGTGTAAATTTTACTAACACTAAAACAACATTTTCTTAATGAAAATGTTTCATATGAAGAAACAGTGAGGCACAGTGGTTAGATGGCCTCAGGGCCCTGAAGCCCTGCGTTCAAATCTTGTCCTGGACCCAACTAGTGGTACAGCCATTGGCAAGTCACTTGCTTAGTGCTTCAAGGAACTAACTCTACAAGACTATATAAAGTGGAAAAGAAGATTGAAGATCTACTCTGGCCAGTGAAGGTCATCACTGAGAGCTATGACATGGATACCACACAGAACATGTATATACAAACATAAGTACATATACATATATATTGATATTTACATATATGTACATATAATTCTGCTTGGCAATTTTCAGTAATTTGACATTTTTAAACAGGCATAAGAAATTTCACTTGTAAAGCTGACTTTGGAAATAGGATGTCTCCTTCACAACAGTATTGCCCAGATTACTACTGCCTGGTAAACATAAAATGATATCATTATTATATCAATTAGTATGATTATGTGAAACTTAAAATTTTAAGATTATCTACTATGCAATGCAAAAATGAAAGTTTGGTCAATTTATTTTTAGGCATATTTCCAAATACTATGTCTGTGACTCTTCTTTTACTGTATTTTTACACTATATTTTTTCTAATTTTTCACTATGATTTTGTCATGCCCATATAATACCCACATGAGAAGTTAAATGGGTTCAGTGAGAGCAACACCAATTACTAATCTGAGAAATAAACAAATAATCATTTTAAATCTGTGAATTACATTACATGTTAAGAGATTTATGATTATACACATGACTAACAGGTGTTTTCAAGTACATCAGGAAAACTAAATTTCTAATAAAAGCTTCTTCAATCTAGGATTT